TCACAAAAGCTCACTCTGGTGTGTGGGTGGAGAATGGATTGTAAGAACAAAGAAGAAACAGGGATACCACCAAGAAACTCATTGGAGAAATCCCCAGGATAGGCCATGATGACCCGAAGGAGGTGGTAATTGATGGAGATGGCAAAAATGGAGTAATGGCAGATATACTTAAAAATGAAAGTGTATGGAATGTGTTGTCAGAATATGGAGTGCATACGAGTCACAGAGAGGCAAAAACAAAACAAGCAAACCAAAAAACAACCCAGCATTGGAGTTGAATCCATGGAAGAAGAGTTCAATAGGATCAGGCAGATTGGGGGATGTATTGGCTTGGGCTTGGCTGATAAGGTATCTAGTTTCAATCTGCTATGTATGGTATGCATGTGGAGCATCCATGCCCCACAGCAAGTGGGAAGTTGGACATCAAAGTACAGGACCTCAAAGTACACAAAGGCTGAGTCAGGGCTAGATATGTGGGATGCTCAGCTCTCAGATGCTATTTAAAGCCATAGGTTTGGATGAGATCACATAGGGCAAGCTTGTAGATAAAGAAGGAATGGGGGCCCAGGTGTGGTGGCTCATGCCAGTAATCCCAGCACTTTGGGAGACTGAGGCAAGAGGATGCCTAAACCCACGGGTTTGAGATCAGCCTGGGCAACATGCCAAGACCTCGTCTCTACAATGAATTAAAAAATTAGCCAGGCATGGTGGTACACACCTATGTTTCCAACAACTTGGAAAGCTGAGGTGGAAGGATCACCTGAGCCCAGCAGGTCGAGGTTGTGGTAGCTGTGAGCATGCTATTGCACTTCATTCTTGGTGACAGAGTGAGATTCTGACTAAAAAATAAACATAAAATATTAAAAAGAAGAAGGAATGGGGAACCTAGAACAGAGTCCCAGAGATCTCCAACCTCAAGACACAGGTCAGGTGAGGAGAAGCCACAATGTAGGTTGAGAAGGAGTTTCCATGAATTTCTCGGCTCCTCTCTCCCCAAGCAGAGCTCCAAGAACTGAAAATCCTGATTTCAATAAGTGAAACTGAGGGTGGGGCCACTTGTTTCTTCAATATGAGAATTGTGATTTGTAGGACTTTCACCTAGAGCTCCCATTCAACTGCCTACACATAGATAAAGGTGTAGAACAAAGCATCTTCTCAAGGCTTACCCACCCCACTGATTTAAATAGACTCAATACTTGCCCTGGGTGCAGGAACACAAGTGGAGAGCCATAATCCATGTTTTCTAGAAAGAGCTCAGGATTGCCTGGAAATTTTAAATCCTCTGTTAATAGCAGTGCTGACCCTGCCAATATTTTAACAGCTCTGATGGAATCAGTACATTTAAAAGTTATAAAAGGTCACAGAGTAATGTAATGGGTACGGGATTTTTTTTGTTTATTTATTCATCTTGAAAATTATAATAACATCATGGGAATACTGTCAAATTAACCACAAACCCAAATGGAGATAATGACTCTTTAATTATTAAATGGGAAAATGGATTATTCCTAAGAAAATTGGCTTTATTAGGTTGACATAATCATTCAAAGCATGTGGACAATAGAAGAAAATTTATTTCAGAAGGTTCTCAGTGGTAAATATTTCAACTACTTTATATAGAGCTTATTGCCAAAATGTCTAAAATTTGACCAAAATTATATCCAAAATATGCTTTTGACCCTACCCCCATCTGCCAATTGTCTTTTATGCTAGAGAATTTTGACAAAGACAAAATTTACCCATACATACATCTAAACAGAATAATCATACTGCAAACTCATTTTCTTAATTTAAAAAAATGAGGGATACAATTAGTGTCCTTACTACTTCCTCACCCCTGTAATATTGAATTAATACTTTTTAAATGTAGACACCGGCAAAGATGTAACACTCCTATCATTAAAAGAAATACAGTAGGTTGATGCTGGAGTGGCTGTGAGTGTGCCACTGCACTCTAGCCTGTACTCTAGCCTGGGTGACAGAGTGAGACTTCAACAGAAAAGAGAGAGAGAGAGAGAGAGAGAGAAACGAACGAACCTGTTAAATTCTACAGGAGGATGACTTAAACCCAGCCATTCTATGAACTTAGCCCGTAGATTTTATCAGCAGAACATATTTGACTTGGAAATACAATGGAATCAACGAATTCAAAATAATAAAGATCTTTGAGGGATTTTGATGGAGAGTAGAAGACATTATTGTTAAGAAAAGGAATTTTTTTTTTTGGTTTTGTTTTGTTTTTTCTTAATCAGGGCACTAAATGGGATGTGTCTGTAGAAACCACAGGTCTGTGTTTGAGCTTGCAGTTTTAGAGAACAAAATGTCTTGACATTCAGAACCCTACTTCCCATAGCTAGAAAGAATGCCCATCTTTCTTTTAGGGCAACGTATTTTAAGTGTTTTATCATTAACTTGATTTCAGCTAAGTTTGACAAAAGGATAATGATTTGCAATAGAGCAGCAGCTGAGACATTAATAGTGTCATATGTTGATGATATTTTTAGCATGCAATGAAAACATTTTTAACACATCTAATACATTTCTTTTTAAAAAATCATGCAGTAGCTACTGACATGCTTATAAGGTTGTATGATGATACCAATCCCCAACCATCATTCAAAACCCTTGACAATCTCTTTCTGACCTATATTGCTTGTGTCTCTCAGTGGACTATCTATACAAAATATGATTCCTCTTCTCCTCTTCCCATGAAGATCCCCTCAGATTTGTCAGGCAGTGGTCAGTTCTCTCTGCTCTGAGGTGCCATAGCATTGCATATGTAACTTTCTTAAATAACGTATTACTTTCTAACCACTTCTATTACTGTGATTTATGTCCATGTTGCCTCCTCAGCAGCTGCTAAGCTATTTTAGAACCTAACAGGCATTAAGTGAGAGAATGAATGAATAGATGAACTAGAGCGTGGAATGCAGCCTGGAACTCCATCTTTAGAGACGCTGGAATCTACAAAATAAAATAAAAACCACTCTCTCCACACAGGTTATAGCCACACAGAAACAAGACTGAAATACCAATGAGACAGAGCAGGGACCATGCTTAGGGTCCTGCTGGGCACCCTCAAACATGAAGATAAAGAAAAATCTCAAGTTCATTCAAGGAAAATTCCAGGCACTTAGCTAGCTTTGAAAAGTAAATGAGCAACTTGACAAACAGGAAGGTAACAGTAGCTTAAAATAATAGCCAAGGAAGTTAGATTCATAAGATGTTGGGTTTCCTATAGAATCTAAAGATAACATTTTAACCTATGCCCCTGAGTTGTTTTTCAGAAACTTAGACCCTCACCAAATGCCATCAGCTGGCACATGGGTCTCAGATAAGGGGGAACTGAGGACTGAACTCTGATCATGGTTATTTGTTCTAAATTTGTTCCTGAAGGGCCTGGAGAAAGTTATATCCATGGTCAGACCTACCATTCCTTTCTTGACCCCAAGTGTTTAAACAAAACTTCACTTCCTTAACCAATACCAAATCAGAAAATCTTTGACTCTAAGAACTGTGGGTCCCTGCCTCAAGATATGTTGCCTTTTCAGGTCAAACCAATGTATAGCCTCCATGTATTGATTTATGACTTTGCCTGTAACCTCTGCCTCCCCACCTTTAAAAACCCTTACCTATAAGCCATTGGAGAGGTCAGATTTTAAGCATGACCTGCCCAATTCTCCTTGCTTGGTGCTCTGCAAATAAATGCCCTCCTTTTTCTTACTGTAAAATCTTGGTGTTGACGTTGGGTTATACTGTGCCAGGAAAGTTGACACCAGCTTGATAGGTAAAAACATTCCAAATATTATTTTTTCATATCTTTTCAGGTAAACTGATTCATCTTCCCCCCTTGGCTAAGGCATTAACTCTTCGTGTGCTTTCAGCCCACATCCACTGCAGATCTGGTTGGGTGTCCCAACCCGGAGCACAGATCAGATTCAATGTGCACAGGTGGGGGTGGTACACTTAAAGCACAGATTCCTTTTAGGAATCTTATCTCTTTGTGAGATAGGCCACACTGTATTAGAATTAAATATGTGTGTCTTGTATTTGCAGAGTACACTGTATAAGCTGGTAGCTGGGTTTCATCGAATATCCCCAATGACAAGTGTGATGCCTGATCCATCATGGAAATGGCTCAGCTGTTGCTTCAAAAGGAATTTCACCTTGAAATGCTACTGTGGGTTCAAGTAGGCAAAATAATGGCCTCCCAAAGATGGCCTCATGCTAATCCCTGAAATCTGTGAACATGTTACATCACATGGCAAAAGAGATTTTGCAGATATGATTAAGTTAATGATCTTGAGATAGGAAGATGATCCTGGATTATCCAGGTGGGCCCAATATGATCTCAAAAGTCTTTATAAAAGGGAGGCAGGAGGGTCAGAGTAAGTGAAGGAGATTAGATTATGGAAGCAGAGGTTAGAGAGAGAGAGGGATGTTGAAGATGCTTAATTGTTGGTCTTGAAATGGAAGAAGGGACCATGAACCAAGGAAAGTGGACAGTCTCTAGAAGCTGGAAAAGGCAAGGAGACAGATTTTCCCCTAGAGTTTGCAGAAGGATGCAGATCTGCTGACACCTTGATTTTAGACCAGGGAGACATCCATTTTTGACTTCGGCATTCCAGAACTGTCAATTAATAAAATTGTGTTGTTTTAAGCCAGTAAATGTGTGTTAATTTGTTACAGTAGTGATAGGAAATTCATATATGGGGGTAGAAGAAGTCTTGCTTTAATCAGTTATACAATATGGGGCTGTATTTACATTTGAGGATACACATCATCACTCTAATGTCATGACATGGGATGTGGGCTTTTTAAATTCTGAGGGGACCATAACAGAAACAACCATTTTGGCTTTAAGACTGACCTAGTCATGTGTTACAAGGAAGTCCTATATATTGCAAAGCAGAAGAACAACAGAAAAGCTCTAAGATCAAGAAAAAAGTGACTGGTGGATAAGCTGGAGGTCAGAGCTTGTCTATACCAGTATTTCTCACCTTTATAGATCCCATTACTTCCGCCATGAATTTCTCCTTTGGTAGACACTTCTTCTATGTGTGCTCCATGGTCTGATGTGAAGTAGATGAGTGTATTATTAGCCAATCCCAGCTCATCTAGAACATTTAAGATTTGCCCTGGAGAGGAAAAAAAGACTAATTTTAAAATTCAATCTTAACAAAAGAAAGGGAGATGGTTACCCATCTCAACTGGTTGGTTAATTTCTCAAGGTGGACCTAGATTCTCTTGTACATTGGATCTTGTCACATGCTGATCACAACATGGGATGTGATGTAATCAAGACTAGCTGTGGCAGGGTTCTTAGCATAGTCACCAAGAAAATTCAGTCATTGACTTCAGTGTCACTTAGAAACACAGTTGGAGCCTCTGGATATTATGAAGTGATCCTGCAGGGAGACCTGACAACGTATTCTAAAAGCATCAGGCTCATTGATCATGAGCCACTTGGAGAAAGCTGCTATAAGAAAGAGGCTGGATAGATGCTCTCACCAGCAGGCAGTGGCCTTGAGGTTATAAGGAAGTCTACCATTTTTCCCTTATATGTGGGAAAATGAAGCCATCAATATTCCTCTTATATGAACAAAAGATACATAAGTATTTTTTGAGTGCCCTCTTTTAATACTTACAGTAGATACTCAAGTCTAAAATTGTCTATCATGAATATCAATAGTCCTCATACTTTCATTTTTCCTGTCCTTTTCATGTTTCCCCAAAACTTACATTATATACCATTCCCAAACAACTTCAAAATAATATTAACAGTAACAACAAGAATAATTGCTACCATCTATTGAGCACTCTCTATATGCAAATGACTTCATTATGTGTTCTTTTGTTTAGACCACACTGAACCCTATGAGTATATTAGCATTGGCTCTATTGTATAGATAAGAGCAATAATGGTATAAAGAGATAAGTGACCTGTTCAAGTTCAGACAGTTAGATAGTGGGAGAACCAGAAAGTAAGAATTAAACCTGATTCTAAAACCCAGACTCTCAAACCCTGTAGACATAAGTGGATAGACTCAGTGAGAATCACAGAGGAGTAAAAGAGACATTATGAAAAAAAATTGTAACAAAATATACTAAGATACTCATGGATGAAATGATATGATGGCTGCTGTCTTCATAACAAGATTGCAGAGAAAGAAGTGAGCAAGGGGTACAGAGTAAACAAGATCAGTCATTAATTAATAATTGTTAAATATGGGCTAAGAGCATATAGGGGTTTAATTGTACCATTTGGTCTATTTCTGTGTTTGCTTACAAGAACAAAATATAACAGTTGAAATTGGAAGAATGGTCTGAAATATGGATTCTCTATTAGGAAGGCATCGCCAGCTCTCAAATCAAAAGACAATGATGGACAAACGAGAAGCATACTAATATATAGTTTCCACAGGGATCTACATAGTCATATGCTGTTTAATGTAACCAGTTCATGCATACAGCTAGCTTTTGATTGGTATATTAAAATCTGGCTCCAGCCAGGCTCGGTGGCTCAGCCTGTAATCCCGCGCCTTTGGGAGGCTGAGGTGAGTGGATTGCCTGAGCCCGCGGGTTCGAGACCCGCCTGGGCAGCGAGACCTCATCTTTACAATAAATAAAAAAAAAAAATCAGCCGGGAGTGGTAGCACGCGCCTGTAGCTCCGGCTACTTGGAAAGCTGAGGCAGAAGGATCGCCGGAGCCCAGCAGGTCGAGGCTGCGGTGGCCGGGAGCGGCCACTGCACTCCAGTCTGGGCGACAGAGTGAGACTCCAACTCAAAAAAAAAAAAAAAAAAAAATCTGGCTCCATTTTTTGGTGTTTGACTGCTAAGAGTTCTTAAGTCTCCCTCCTCCCTCTTCCACTTACGCCCCATGAGCTGATAAGAAATTCTGGTTATTTCCTCCTTTACTGCCAGTGGAAGGGTCAAATTATGCAAGCGCCTGCCTGCATGAAAGAAACGCACACCAAAGTCCAATTCTTCACCATAAAAGCTGAATCAATATCTCTCTCTGTCTCTCTCCCTCTCTCATTCACTGGGATCTCACTCAGTTGCCCAGGATAGAGTGCAGTGGCACAATCACAACTCACCACAACCTTGACCTCCTGACCTCAGAAGATCCTTCCGCCTCGGCCTCCAAAGTAGCTGGGACAACAGGCACGTGCCACCATGTCTGGGTGATATTTATTTTTTATTTTTGTAGAGACAAGGTCTCGCTATGTTGCCTAGGTTGGTCTTGAACTCCTGGGCTCAAGAAGTCCTCCTGTTTCAGCCTTCCAAATTGCTGGGATTATAGGTGTAAGACACTGTACCTGGCCTTAGAATCAGTCTCCTTTTGGACTAATTTGGGAGTTATCTTTCTTTTTCCAGAAAGCCTCAAAATCTTGTCATATTCTCTTGGAATGTTCGTGTGTGTGAATGTGTGCTCACATGTGCACACAGTGTCATTGGTCTCAACATGGGAACTGAATGCAGAGTGGAGTCCATCTAGTCATAATAGAATGACTACAACATTTGATATTCTACAAGGGTACCAGGTATCCTCTGTGGCAGAAAGAATTAAGTATAGGATTCTGAATACATCCTACCCAGCAGGAAGATCATACTCAGTGGAGATAGACATTTCATCACAGGATATACTCTCACCTACTTGGTCCAGAATAGGGGGAAAAGGAGTGAGCTGCCCAAAGAGGTGGCAGAAATAATTCTGGATGCAAAAACAACACCGAAGTCATTTGTTACGAGACATATTTTTACTATTTGAGTGCAAATGCCATGGGCTAGAGTATGTTCAATCTTTCTCAATTTTTAACTCAAATGATAAACGTTCCCAGAACCCACACCATATACATAAATGTCATACTCAGAACCAAGGAATAAGACACCCGAGGGCCATTTTAGCAATTTGTTTCCCATGATAAATCATTATCAGGCAGACATTTATTGTGGTGTTATCTGGTACAGCTAAACAAACCACCTGTGTGCTGGGGCTTGGGATTATTTGGCTGTGACACTAATTTAAGCCTGATTACTATGAAAATGGTAATTAGCTTAATGAGTTGAAATAGAAGGAAACAATAAGGCAATATAACCCCCACTTATACTTTGAAAGAATAATGCTCTCTTTTACTCATTTAACAACTTTGTATACAATAATACAGATTAGGCAGGTAGCAGAGGATTGAAGATTTTACTTCTTTGTATTGCAGTTAGTATTTAGCAAAAACGCATGCAATCATGCATCTTCATCTCAAATAAAATCCATCTTTCCTATATGTAAAACTATGTTCGCACAAAGAAAATGCAGTGAAGAAATGTCTTATAAAAATGTGACTTCCATAACTTATGTGCATGCAAAAACCTGCATGCAAATAGTTATACTGCATCTATTCATAATTGCCAAAACCTTGGAAGCAACCAAGCTGTCCTTCAGTAGGTGAATGGATAAACTGCAATACATCCAGACAATGAAATATTATTCAGGGCTGAAAAGAAATGAGCTATCAAGCCATGAAAAGACATGGAGATACCCTAAATAGCATATTTCTAAGTGAAAGAAGCTAATCTAAAAAGGCAACATACTGTATGATTCGGACTATATGACACTCTGGAAAAGACAAAAACTATGGAGACAGTAAAAACAGTAGATGTCACAGTCTTGGGAGAAAGGAAGAATGAACAGGTAGAGCACAGGGGATTTTTAAGGCAATGAAACTACTCTGCGTGATACTATAATGGTGGATACATGTCATTATACATTTGTCCAAACCCATAGAATGTCCAACACCAAAACTGAATCCTAATGTAAACTATAAACTTCAGTTAATCTCAGTGTGTCAAGATTAGCTCATCAATTGTAACAACATACCACACTAATACAAGATGTAAATAATAAGAAAACTGGAGGCAGGTGGAAGGAAGTATGTGAAAACTTTGTACTTTCTACAAAGTTTTTCTGTAAACATAAAACTCCTCAAAATAGTCTCTTAATTTTTAAAAATACCTTTCAAATGCAATTGAACTCCTAGACTTCCTCGTTCATTCATTTAAAACATGTTCATGAAGCACCCAACTTACATAGGCTATGTGCTAAAGGTGGGAGTACCACAGAGTTTCAGGGACAACTCTTATTCCCAAGGCCAATGTCAGCAACTTTCTATTTACAGCTTCCCTTCTAGGCTACTTCTATCTCCAGACAAATTTACAGCTGCATTTATTATACAGATTTTTCAACTAAAATATCCTACATCCTTCCCCATCTTAATACTCTTCCCTGGATATTTCCTCCAAATTCCAATATTTCAAATGATCACAATAAGATATTCAGTATGTCCCCATCACAAAGTTTCTTCTTCCTTGCCTAGAGCTACCGTTTTCATTCAAGGTGCCCTATACAACTGGGATGGGTTTAATACAAGGGAAAGTAGCTGAGGTCATCACGCATGTACAAATGATGGGATGTTTAGCTCAAACTGGTGAGAAATGGCCAGATTTCCCTTTAGTCATCTCTTTCCTGAAAGACATACTCTGGACCCCATACTATTTAGGTCTTAAGCCAGAATCTCATTTGTAAAGCCCAAAGCCCATTAAACATTTATTTTTTCACAAGATTGATCCTATGAAGGTCTAATATACGTCTCTCCTAAACATTCCGTACAGAAATCTCCCAAGGGAGCAAATGCTGTTGTATTAGTTTTGCCTTCAGAGCGATATATTATAAATCAGAGGTCTGCAAATATTATTTTTCAGTAAAGTTCTCAAGGTATAATGATACCGATTTATATAAGGATAGTTTTGAATTACCGATGGTGAGCTGCAAGATAGCTTATAAATGAAATGTTCTATTTCCAAAGCATTCTCACTTTGCTTCCTGAATGAAACAAATACAGAAAATAAAGCATTTCAAGAGTACTTTGTTATTTAACTGGAGACAACAAGAGCATGCTTATCAAAGTGAGGCTCCTTGACCAGACCTTTTGCAATTCTGAAGAAGAAAACCTGGAAATACAAAAATCTGGCTCTTTCTTCTCAAGTGTGGATGTGGGTTGTAGAGGAAGCCTACATTCTAGAGTCATTCCATTTATTCATTCCACAAACAAGTAGTAAGCCACTATTAAGTTTCAGGCATTGA